GGAGATATTCCCGAAAAACCTGAGGGTTGGATAAAAACAACCCCCCCCCCCTGCCACTAATAGGGTTAATACCTTATCATACATCAATTTGACACGTTCCCTGAAAATTTCAGCGAAATCCATTGGAATAATTTTGCGAAAATGACGTTTTAGTGACCTCATGTCACGTCATTTTTGGTTCAAAAACTGCAAAACATCAAACGCCTCTAACATTCTTAATTTGTAAGAAATAAGAACGTAATAGAAAAGCATGTACCCTATTTTACTTTGTCTTCTAAATGACCGTCTCGATTTTTTGAAATTTTCGGTTTTTGAACCAAAACTTAAAAAAAATGATTTTACGGGTAAATCATAAACCCAAAATTTTGGGTTTATCGAAAAAACGGAATACCTATATGCCAGGGAAGTAGTAGCCGTTTTCACGACGGCCATCTGGTACACATTTGGTACATATCTGGTACAGATTATGGTGCAGATCTGGTCAAATCAGGTTCAGTGTGTCTCTTAGCAGCTATCATCTAGTGTTGCACTAATTGCTTATATGCCTGCTTTTTCACATTATCAGAGAACAACATCGATTAAAACACTGAAATAAATTCATATTACGAAGATATTTGATGTAAAAGAAATTAGGTGCAGGTTTGGTCAAATCAGGTACATTCGCCGGATATCCCGTCGTGAAAACGGCTAGTATCTGTGCACATACATTTCAATTTTTAGAAGAATTGGCTCAAAAATGTAAAAGTTATTCAAATGTTTATGACGTCACGATACGCAACATTTTCCAAAAAAAAAAAAAGATTCTGTTTTCTAAGTTCTACACCTCGTACTGAAACAAAAATAGCACCATTCAATTCGTTGTTTAAAACTGCATCAGCTAGACACCTCTTTGGGTCTTAACCCGCGCCCCACTGGGGTCTGCGTATAACACGCCCTTCTGGGTCTGATAGCCCCGTAAAAACTGTCGAGCGAAACCTAATTTAATTGACCTCGAGGTCGCCGATGACGTCACAGGTCAGGTCAAAGTAAAAATTATTAGCATTTTGGCTTGTTCACGTTTTGGGCTCTGGCCGCCGTCTTACAAGTCAGATCAGGCTCATTTTTGGATCACACATTCGTGAACAGATGCTCTAGATACCCTGAGGGTACCAAACTTGTACTTTGATTTTCAGGTCAAGGTCAGGTCATCACAGGTCACGAAAATATTATATCATGCGTCGGTCACGTGACACGTGTTTTATGATCCATTTAGGTCCGAGATTTCGAATTTGATGTCGTCTGTGTCATTGGAGGTCATTTTGAGTCGAATTTAGCTTAGGTCAGGTCACTTTCAGGTCAAAAAAGGTCAAATTTTGAAGTTGAAATTTTTCAACAAAAAAGGTGTCTATTGGATGCATTTTGAGCTCAGGAACACGATGGTGCTATTTATATTGGCGTACGATGTCAAATACGTGCTGAAAAATTGATTTGAAAAATTAATAATTGTGAATTTTTTGCAATAATGCGTAAAACTTGGCCATTTTTGACGATATTTCGCTAAAACTTGCTAGAGTTAGTCAAAATAATGCGTTCTATCACATATATTCCGGTTTTTTCGAAGTGTCAAATTTTTTTGAAAAAATGTAAAAATATTAATTTTGGACTTTATTATATTAAATTTCCAAATTTTCACAATTTCGAAAATCCGAGATATCAGTTTGATAGCGCAGGCTATTCTGAGTCCTCTTATGCAAAGAAATTTGATCTAGCTTAAAAACTGAGCTCTTGGGAGCGATTGCCGTGGTTCAATATTTTGCGTCGAAATCGGCCGAACATGACGTCACTCTGACGTCATTTCCGGCCGACCTACGGCATATACGAAGTTCAAATTTTGACACAAGGTGTCAAATTGATGCAGCCTAAGGTACTGAAAGTTTGGCGTCGATACGTCAAGCGGTTTGGAAGTTATTGCAGAAAAACGGGAGGGGGGCTATGAATAGCCCCCCCCCCAGTGGGACGTGGGTTAACAATCAACTTCAAAATTTGACCTAACTTGACCTAACATCGACCTGACCTCGACTAAAAGTCATCCAAATGTGGTCCATATCATTAATTGAATGTGTCCATTGAGTTATATGAATAAAATGACCCATAAAAATGCGTTGCACATGTTCTATTCTATATTTCGATTTTAGTGACCTGACCTGACATTGACCTGACCTGACCTGACACCTTTGTATGCCATTGTAGGCGACGAGTCTTGTCTTAGTGCTCTAAAAACACGTTTTTGATCATCAATCTCTGTCCATTGTTCGCCAACTGCGCTCCGAAGCCGATGATGTGGTAACTTCAATTTTGTACCCTTGACCTGACCTTGACCTGACCACTGACCTACTTATGCAAAAAATTTAGCTCCAAAGGTCCGTCTTGTTGAGTGCTTTTGATTGCCGTTTTCCCCGTCTTTCTATGACCATCGGTTCGGAAGTTAGACATGGGGGAAGAATATGCCCCCCCCCCCCTCCCCAGCAGGGCGCGTATGGCCGAAATATCCCAGCGGAGCACTTGTTAACTATCAATTGACATAGCTAACACAGTCTGATTTTCATTGCCTTCATGTGCATATGAAAAATTGTACCTAAAATAAATTACACAAATGAGTGCTGCTTTATCCCACCAATATGCGCGAAGTAACTATGCTTAGTTTAAATTCGCTTCAGGCTCCTATGAGTGCAAATCTTTTAGATAACGCATCACATGACTTAAGCCCGTTTCTCATTGAGCGTAAATTAACCCGCGCACCGACGGGGGGCGGATATCCGCCCCCCCCCCTGAGGTTTTTCGCGAATAGCGGGAAAACCGCGGCGCGTAGCGCCGCGAAATTTGGTATGACTATTCCCTCATCAATTTTACACATGGTGTGCAAGTTTGAACCTCCTACCTTTTAAGGTCAGGTCATCAGGTCACTTTGAATGACCCAACCTCAAGTCACTTTTTTGCAACTTTGTCACCGTGCCAGAGCTACAGTAGATGTCGGAGGCCTTTGAAAGTCGCAGGATGCTATAAGGTCATTAGTAGCTACAATTTTTTTATCTCGGAATTTTGATATCGGTGACCTAAGGTCAGGTCAATTTCGCGACCTCCCCATTATAAGTCAATGGGGGAAAAATCAACTCCCTATTTTTACCACTAAAACGCGTCGGAATGGCCCCATATACCATACATGACTTCATATACGATTAAACTTCACTACCTTGAGGTCTGTTTTGCTGTTGGGCAGCTGTGAGGTCATGTGACGTCATCAAAGGTCACGAAAGGTTTTTGGCCAATAACTCCGTACAGGAACAAGATACAGCCGCGTGGATGGTCTCATTGTGTTCAGCTCGTCAAGACGCATCGAATGATATACATGTTGACCTCAAGGTCACGTGACCTGAGGTCAACCTTTGACCTTGACCTTTTGAGGTCAACATATATATATATATCATTCGATGCGGATTGACGAGAGGATCACGATGATGCCCTTAGTTTGTTCCTATCTTGACTAATTCGAAAGTTATTCGAGAAAAACTCTCTCCATATCTAGCACCGCCATTTTGACTTTTTCGACCCCTGTGACGTCATCTTTGACCTGACCTGAAAATGACCTTTGAAAAATTGTAGATCTTGACCGTGCGCATCCGATGCCGTTTACCGCTTGTCGCTATCTTGCTTCGTTCTCGAGATCTCAGGGGGGGGGGCGGTCATCCGCCCCCCCCCCCGTCGGTGCGAAGTTGGCGCAGACCCCCGTCGGTGCGCGGGTTAAGCATAATGTAAACGAAACGTTGACCAAACGTAGAGCAAACGTGAAGTCGAAATAGGTAAAGCATAGAACCTAGTCCTACCTAGCATAACAAAAACAAAAGTACAAATTTAAACTATCAGCGCCCATTGTCTCTTTGTTTTAGAATTTGTGAAGAAAGTAGTTGTGTAGCAGCTGAAGTCTGACACGAGCATTACCGCAAATTACAATTCCTGAGAGAGCAGAGGTTGACCCTCTAGTTGTATTATATCCTGCAGAGTGGAACAAATATGAAGCTATGCACTGTGCTAAGTCTGACAGGCGCGGATACAAGGGGGGGGGGCCATGGGGGCCATGGCCCCCCTTGGCCGATTTTTTTTTTCAAAAATAAAATAAAAAGTTAAAAAGTTAAAAAGCTGAAAAGGGGGCCTCCTGAAAATAAAGTGGCCGAAATCCGATGAGTTTTTTTTAACCTACCCACTTAGTTATTTCTTAGAAGACTAGCTGAGAAGACTTCTTTGTTAGAAGATTGGTAAAGCTTTTCATAACTTGGAGGTCTCTTATACTCACAGAGATGACCACTTTTACAGGGCCTCCTAACCTGCACAGAGGGCCTCCAAGCCTGCACAGATGTTGAGATGTTGCCTGAACAGCTAGATAAGCTCAATAGACGCAGTTTTTTTTTGGGGGGGGGCCCAACAAGTGGGAAGATGGGGCCTCCAACAGGTGGGATTATGGGGGGGGGCCTCCTGGTTTCTAATGGCCCCTCCCTTGGAGATTTTCTGGATCCGCCCCTGAAGTCTGATATGGTCTGATAACTGTGAATGTTGACTTTTTTCTGTAGACCGTGTTTGAAAGGCTGTTCCGTGTAGTTACTGAGTTTAGAGGACTTCCATTGGAGAACTCTGTTTGACAGGCTGTTTTGCACGGACTGCGATTTGTGGTTTGTGCTCGAAGAGTGCGTGCTGTGGGCTGAGTCGTCAAATTGAGCTGTCTCCCAACAGAGCGCCATGACTGACTGACGTGGGTCCTTTAGCACGCCAATGTCAGTAGCACGATGCAGACCTTACCCACTCTGACCGTGAGACAGCGGGTCGGCAGTGACCGCTACCCCTCCCCCTCCCTGGCTCCTCCCTCTGCCATGGCAGCCGCAGGGCCAGAGATGCTCCGGTCACGTGACCGCCCGACGACTCGCTCCGCGCGCGCACTATAAATGTGAAGGGTCGACCCCAGCACAGTGAGACGTGCAGTGCAGGTGGCAGAGATAGCAGCTCCCGCTCGCAGAGACACACAGTCACACAAGGTGAGTGCATCGGCGCCCACGATGTAGTCAAAAGCTTGGTTGACAATGGAAAGAGATAGGTACCTACTTTGTGCTAAAAGCCTTCTTTGTAAATGAAAACGGGTACAAAAGTTGCTCGTTGCAGCCGTTGGCCATGTACTAGAGATGTGAATCGGATACCAGCTTTTTGGTATACCGATACCAAACCGATACCAACTTGGTAATTGGTATTTCGATCCCAATGTTTTTGGTATTTTGTCGGTATTATGAATCCTCGGTAATGTATGAGAGTTTGTGAATTTGGTAAAAAGCTGGTATTTCTATCATATTCCCTAGTTGGTTCGGTATCAGTACTTTCCCATGGTTTTGGTCGGTATTTGGTTTGCTGTCGGTATCCCAATTTTTTGTGACTCACATCACTGCCTTGTACAGTCTGTCTTAAAAGTACCGCGCAAAGTGGCGGTGGTTCCATCAAGCCTGACCGAGAAAGGGCCTGTTTTAATTTAAAAGTCACCGACCAATTGACCTAGGGAATGGATAAGGATGTCAATTGCTTCGATGACCCAAATTTAGCAGGCCCTTGCTCAGTCAGGCTCGATGGATCCACCGTCACTTTGCGCGGTACTTTTAAGACAGACTGTACTTAAAAACAAAAACAATGCGTAGTTTCGTTCGAGCTTTGTAAGCTAAAAATGTGCAAGATGTGTGTCCATAAAGTCTGCATTACGTGCGGATACACCGCTGCTTCTATGCTTCATCGTAAATTTGACCGATCGGAAAATTGCGGATTGTCGGTACAGGTTGGGTGCCAAAGGATATGGTAAAATAGTCCTGTTCCACTCGAGCTCAGTAATCTGCAGATGGTCCTACGGGCCACAAACCGCAGACCATTCCGGTCGGAAATATCGCACATCCAGCACCGGAGCAACTGTATGTGCTATGTCAATCAAAACTATTGAATTTCCACACCTTTACAGTCGATTAAAGTTAGCGCTTCTATCCTAAACAATGCCTAAATGCCTAATAAGTTTCATTTATGACAGCCCAAACGACTACCATTTTGATTTTTCATACAAAGCAAAAAGAAAACTGGGGATAAGGTGTAACGTCTAAACCAGAAACAAATTACTTCTGTCTTCTAATCTACAAAACTGCATGATGCAATTTCATTAACTTAGTTCAAGGCTTCAAAAAACGCATGAAGGCCCATTGAAATTATTTGCTGGCCTACTCTCCCTGCCTTATCGCCTCTCCATATATAGTACACTTAGGCACAGCCAATATCTACCCGCGTTCAAGCGTTTCCGCTCCCCAAGTTAGGCTGATGATAGCCGTTTTTACGACGGGCTGTCTGGCGAATGCACCTAATTTGATCAAATCTTGACCAAATCTCTTTCACAACAAATATCTTCGTTTCATGAACTTATTTCAGTGTTTAAATAAAAAAAAACTGATAATTTAACAATAAGGTGTATATAAACATCTGGGCAACTCAAATTGATAAGTTTTAGACCTAATCCTAATCCTAATGATATGATAAGACCTAATGCGTCAAATTAGGTCCAAAAGACAATGGACCTAATTTGACCATATTTGCACCACATATGAACCTAACCTGCATTAAATGTGTACCAGATGGCCGTCGTGAAAACGGCAATAATCCGGTCTGTTGTATGCCAACTCACCCTCGTATCTGTCCTTCTCGACTGCAAGCATAATGATTAGTTGACACCAACTTTGCCCTCAGGTAACTGGGCATTATTTTCATAGAGTTATGTTACCGGCCTTCTTATTCAGGCTTCGCTCCCGGATAGTGTCAACTATTTGCTACCGTCTCGCTGACCTAGCCTCGTTTTCCAGATGGCCCGGGTACGATCCGCTCTGCTTCTGGCATTCGCCGCTGTTGTCGTCTCCTCACATGTTGTAAGTACAGATTCTCCCCTTCACGAAGAACCATCCACAAAGTAACTCTTCTGAAATTGCGTCTCTCTCAATTCAATCGTTCAACTAATAGCTCACGTACGCAAGACGCTAATGAATTGCCGTCAATTCAACCGCACGGCTCGTGAACACGAAATACTGAATAACTGAACGGCGGAGCTTAATCGGTCGGCTACGCAATGGGTGCGTGAGCCATCCTTGCCTCACGCGGTTGGTTACCTCATCTCTCGAGAGGGCCTGCTTCACTGGCCGGCTGTCTGCCGCCGGCGGTGTCGACAGGCGGCGTGTGACCCCTGCACTTCCCGGGCAGCGCAGGTCACCTGGAGACGCCCCCTGCGGTCAGCCGGTGACCCCTGCCGCCGCAGAGAGCTCAGCGAAGCAGCTATGATCGCCCGCGCGCGCCAGACGACGGAAAAACGGCTCCCCTTGACATTGAATTTCCAGCCGCGCAACTGCGGCCGAGCGAGATCCGTCTGTGGAAGCCGCGTTTTTGTCAGCATAGTCAGCATAGTCCCAACCAGCATACGTCGGGACTCGACAACGCTGTAGTGAACTTTGAACTGTAGTGAACTTTAACGCAAGGATGCTTTGGGTGCTACTGCTGACACGTTTGATGAACACCGATGAGGGTTACAAAATGTAGCCACAAATTAGATAAGCCATGGCATCGGCAATCATCAGTTCATCAATTCATCAGTTTGTGGTTTTACGGAATCCGTTGCTTTGTAAATCCCCTTGTGCCCAGTTAGTCGCTAAACAGTAAGCATGCGTAGGAATGTGGATGCTCTCAGCGGAGGAACAACGTCCATGGTTCCACCATTGTATCCGAAAGCTCGTTCTGCAACAAACACGGAAGCGCAGCCTTGAGAATGCTGCCGGATCTGGTCTGGAAAAATGGCCAAATTGCCGCAATGCGTTTAGCGCGGCACACGCAATTGCATACGATGGCCGGTCCCTCGTCAACATCTTCCCATGGCTGATGGACGATGGTCGACATTAACGACAGTCCAGACGGAGGCCGCTGTCCCATGGGACTTGTTGCGGGCGCATCCGTCGCCTTGCCGTTTCAAAATACCACCCATCGAAAATGTCCGACTGGGACGGCGGCGGGCGACCTTCCCGGTGAGATGTTTGGGTCGTCGAACGGGCAACGTGCCTATTACGGCGGCCATTACCCTGATGTGCATGCGTCCGAGGGCTGCGTGGTTCCCTGGGGCCGGACGGCGTGTCGTTAGTTTCCACTTATCGTCCGGCAAGCCAAGGCTGTCGCCGCTTCTTCCAATGACCCGTGACACCGCAGTGATGAAACGCCTCCGGCGGCCGGCCGGGCGGCGACGGCGCACGTCACTCGCGTCACGGTCCGGGGCGTCACGGCGGCCGCGGACGTCACTCCACCGCGACGGCTGGACACGGGACGAGTCGGCCGCCCCAATCACCTGGGAACCGGCGCCGGCCCGTCTCCTCACGCCGCCCGTCTCCGGCCCGTCTCCGTGTGACAGTGGCGTCACTGTCCGTGACGGCGGAGGCGTGACGCGCGTGTGACACACGCAAGGACGAAGCAGGAGCGTCTCTGACTCTCGTGCCCGCCGGCTGCTTTGGTATGGTTTAGTAATGGCGCCGGTATGATGCATCAGGCAGTTGAAGTCCTCATAGCTAAAAAGGAACGGTTAAAAGAAGAGAGAAGGAAATCAAATTCACTTTCTGATCCCTTCAGATGTCATTCTGTGATCTGAGTTGGGTCATTTCTGGGAGTAGAAAGCTGATATCTCCTGAGATGACTTGGCAGTCTCCTCCACCTGATAAGGTCATGTGGAGCATCGTCTTTCAGCTATCCAGTATACATCAGAGGAGTGTCAGACATTGCCTGTGACCCTCGGCTGACCTCGTCTGACCCAGAGTGACCCCCGAGTCCCCGCGGCCTCTGGAGTAATCTCTGCCGGCTGTGTGACCTGCGGGTCAGCCTTTCACCGGCGCCGGGCCGGCCACCGCGCTGCACTGCCTGCCGCCCGACCCCGGGGGTCAGCGGAGGGCACCGCCGCGGGCGCCGTCCCGCCAGAGCACGTCCGCCGGCACCGCCGAGCACGGCCCAGCCAAGGACACGGCCACTGAAAGCGAAAGCATCTGCCAGCCGGCGGCATACTGAGAATAGCCCGTTTGTTGCCGTAACTGCCCTGGGAACAGACGCTCCGGACGCCGACTAATGGATGACGGAGATCGCCCCCACACACTCACGGCCGAGGAAGAAAATGGACGGCCGTTTAACGTCCTATTAGCAGATGTGCAATTAGTGTTCGGTTCAAGTGTTCACTATCTAGTTTCTTTTGTTAAGTAATATTTAACGTGAGATGGCTGTACTTTATACTCTAGAGCAATGAGTCACAATTACTTTTATAGGGCTTCTATTCTTCTGAGCATTTTTTAGCCTTTCCTGACCAACGTTTTGCATTGGTGTGATATATTTGCATATAACGGCACACAGAGCCACGTTTGCCTTTATCCCTAGGTGATGTTTTCTGGGCATACCTACTTTTCATTTTGATTAGCTCTCAGCAGGTGTGCGGCCATTTTGCGCATGCTGTAACCTCTGTCGGGGGCCCTGACCGCGCGCTGACGAGGGTCACCACGGTTTGGCAGGGCCTGAGTAGTGTGACGGGCCGGCCCGTGACCCACCGAGACGCGGCGTGACGCAGCCGCGACACGGCCGTGACGCCTCGACAATGCACGGCGCTCCGTCTTCCGTCACGGTAGCGTCACGGGCGGTCCTGTGATGCGTCACGGCGCGCCGGTGCGGTGCCGCCGCCGCCGCCGCTCCTTACGCAACTGGCGGCCGGCCCGGACGGGTGCGGGCGGGGCGCGGACTGGCGGCGGGCGGGGAGCCGGCGTGGCTCGCCGCGTGCCCCCTGACCCGGCCCACACCCAGCCGATGATTAGGGCGCAACGTGTGGTAACGGTGCAGCGCGCTCCCGGCCAGAGACGCGACAAACCACGCCCTCAATGTGAGAGATGTGAGACGCTCTCCCTATGAGAGACCCGCCGCGCCCTGTGAGAGAAACACGCCACACTCCGTGTCCTGACACACCCGCAGCAGGAGACACGCCCCTAGACTCGGTGACACAGTTACCACCGCTGACACCAACACCGAAACCACTCATTGTGCCGCTCTAAAAACGGGCTAATTGTCGTGATGCATATGAACAACAATACAACTCCTGATAAAAATGCAGTACGGTCCGGCCCGCTGTTTTTTGGCCATCACCTCGCGCTGCTGCTAAATACGCTAACGCCCGTTTGTCCCCTTCCTCAGGCGAAGCGGCAAGTCCCTGAAGAGTACCCGACGTACGCTCAGGTACCGGACGATGTCGCCTTCACGTGTGATGACAAACTGCCAGGCTACTACGCCGACGTGGATTACCAGTGCCAGGTACGGCTTACAGACTAGAGCAGTTTTATGTTAAACTCAAATCAACAGGTAGAGCATTGTGCCACCCGCTACTGACAGCGGACACTGCTGGAAAAGCAGCAAGCGTATAGCAATTGTACCCACTCTGGTGTAGAGTTATTATTGTCGTATAACTCGGCATCTTACGTGATGATATCCCAAGCATGTCACCATGCCGTTTGCTTCAGTCAGTCACATTTCGTCAAACGTATCGTGACATAAGCGACCGATAAATGTGATAGTTTCGTTATAAGTACTGGTGCATAGTTTCACAACACGGAACCATATTCACATAGCTGATGAGTGTTGACAGTGATTGACATGGGTGTCAAACGTGAGCTGATTGTAATCTGAGCGCTGTTGCGTTCGGCAGGTCTGGCACTGGTGCACTCCTCAGGCCACCCTGTACAGTTTCCTGTGCCCCAACCAGACCGTCTTCAACCAGCAGTACCGGTCAGTATACAGCGCTGCCTCGTTAGTAGTCTCGGTAGTAGTAAAGCTTTGATAGAGATGCCAGAGAGACACTAGTTGCTTCAGATAGACATGTAGTTGTTACATAGCTACTCCTCTCTAATGCTAAAAAATGCAAGATTTATCATGAATATTTTCATCGACCTGACCCTATGCCAGTGCTGGCTATATTCTCTAATTGACGTCTGTCGAATTTGAGTGTGTCATCATCCCCTCCCACTTCTTCGGCAGCGTTTGCGACTGGTGGTACAACGTCGACTGCCCCAGCGCCACCAGCCAGTACGTCAACAACGAGGAACTCTACAAGGATGCCGAGGGCAACCCCATATAATCAGCGGGCCCACCGGCCCCAGTCAGTCAGTGTGTGCGGCGTGCGCGCGGTGTGCCACGGCGAAATTCCGAGAGCAGCTAGACGCTTATAGAACACTAGAGGCTCGGCAAAGACTGTTTGAAGAGCGTGTGAGAGCTGCGCGGAGTGGGGTATGCGTGATGCTGGTCGAGACAGCACTGGTTTTGTTTTGAGGAGTGCCGTTGTCTCAAAGTGTGCTTTGCAGTGATTTTTTTCATAAAAAGGCGATAGAAAACAATGAATGCATATATTGTCCAGTTAGCTTTTGCAAATGAAATCGCTTAATTCAGCATTGCTCTTAGACCCAGACACTTGTATAATGTACTTTGTAGTAGTTTTTGCAGTCAATCGCTTTACGGAGACTTTGTGTTATTGTTGCTGATGAATAGTGCGACTGCTGTAAGCCCGACTCGTTTGTGCTTACATACCGGCTGTATCGCTGGCTAGCGCATGGTTTCTTTCATACGACTGACGTGTCGGTCAAAATACACAAATGCTCTGACACAGGCTTTCACTTAGAGCACCTATCCATTCCTTATTTCATGGAGCAGCTGCTGCATATTATAAGCAAAGAAGAGAGGCAACTGAGCTGAATACATGTATCACATTGAAGCACTAATGGAAGTGATAGTTGTGAATTGTTAATGGCAATGAGCCAAAGCATATTTAACCCTCGCCCTGGCAGGGGGGTCGATGCGACCCCCCCCCCCCCCTAAGGTTTTTCGAAGGTAAAAACAGCGGCGCGCAGCGCCGCCAAATTTGGCACAGCATATAGGGCAACCTTTTTACATACGACCTGAAAATTTCAGGTCTGGGTGACCTTGGGTCAGGTCACCAGGTCAGAAAAAAACCGGTACAAGGTCATTGTCAATTTTCATTTTTTTTTTGCACCTGTCCAACTCACAGATTTTGACTGATTTCCTTCAGACTTTCAGGGTGTGCTAAGTTCACCGAGTTGTATAACATATAGTTCAGGTTTTTTATGTCACTGACCTGAGGTCAGTTAGAGGTCATTACGTCGCAATGTTAAGCCTATGGGAAAATACTAAATTCGGAAAATACTGTAGATATCAGCTTCGTTCTATCACTTTTGTGCTTTGAAACCACAGTACTTAACAGAGCAAGTCACTTGGTGCTTCTTTGTTTGGTGTACGTATCCATGGGTCAGGTCAACTGAGGTCAACTGAGGTCAAATGACGTTTTTGCCAATAACTTTGCACATAATGACGCTAGAGCTTAAACAATGGTGTCATTGTGTTTCTTGTGATCAACCGAATCGAATGATATGCGATATGATGCAATTTGGTTAATTTGAACTTAATTAGTTAATTAAAGTTAACTTAAAATTTAAGAAAAACTTAAAGTACACTTAAGCAAGCTAAAGAGTATACCATTCGACGCGCCTTGACGTGCTGAGTTCACTGGTGCTTTTTTTGCTCTATCTTAATTAGATCCAAAGTTAAAAGCGAAAAAACATTGACATGTTTTTAGCACCCCCAAAACCCCCCTAAATATTGACCTTGAGCAACCAAACTTACACAGGGGCGAGAACTCCAGGGGGCCGACCTACCTACCAAATTTGGTGTTTCTAGGTGCCATAGGAGCCAGTTGCGAGGGGGGTCGCATCGCCCCCCCCCCCCCCGCCAGGCCGTGTTATGAAAAATGCCCTGCCAGGGCGAGGGTTAAACCTTCGCCCTTTTTATGCTAAGTTAACACAACTTTGAATTTTGTAGTTTGTACAAAATGCAAAATACAAAAATTATTTTTACTGTACATAATTTTCCCACCACTGGCGGATCCAGACTTGCGTTTTGGGGGGGGCCAACTCCTGCAAGTAACCAAACCTAGGGTACCCCCAAATCCTGTTTTCTCATCGGATTTAGGCCACTTATTTTTTCGTCACAGCCCTGAAACGATATTTTTTTTTAACTAAAAATAAAAAGATAGAAATGGTAGCCCACCCAACCCGAGCCTAAATATTACTTTGAAAACACTTCAAATTGCTTTTGTCGACCAATTAGCCCGCTCCGGGTCGGTGCGTGGCGCAGCCTTCGCGGGCTGGGAGGTGTCGGTTGGACCCCCTGCCGTTCGGCCCCTGATTAAGCTAGAGCTCGCGGAAAAAAAAACAGGCGTGTTGCCCGTGAGTGACGAGACGAAGCCGATGATACCCGATTTTAAGGTCCTTGGTCATTGGTTGACCTTCCAGGGCGGTGTTTCACGCTCGTGCTGACAGCCGCTGACAGCGCATTCCGCGAGCTAAGGTCAGCCTTCGGTAGTGTTGTGGGTATAGGCTTGTTGATGTCTCCATTGAAACCAAAAGTGCCATCAGCGCTGGCAGCGGCTGGCAGCGTGCCGTGAAACACCGCCCAGGTCAGGTCACAGACCCAAAAGACGGAAAAATCAGGACCTGTCAGAACCTCCTAAAGTAAGGCTGTAATACGTTTTTTTGTGCTGATCACAAATTTCATGTTAGTTTGGATCACAGATAATGTCTTCATGCGTTTAGACCATGTCGGGGCAGGTCAGGTCAGATCAACCAGTAGGAGTACTTATGGGCGTCCGTATAGCAGGTGTCCACTACCACTGGCAGCTACGTAAGGCATCAAAACTACTTCGTAAATGTTCAAATGGCTGCAAAATGCTAAATTCAAAATCAGCTAAACGAAACTATCCTAGAAACATGTTAAACTCGGAAAAGTGCACCGAGGTCATCAAAGGTCAATGACCTGACTTGACCGTAAGGTGACATTGGCATCCGCCCTAATGCGTGGGAGCAACATCATATCACATGTTTGAGCGTTTTAAACCACGAAAAGACTATAAAAGCGCGGATAATGTGAGCCGACATACGCCGAATCGCTATTCCGGCCAAACATGGCCTCCAACATGGCCAAACAGTCTCGAGAAATAGGCCACAAGTCAAAGTTCACTTGGGTCAGGGTCATGAAATTTTCAGACTTTGTCACCATGAGGGTACTAAAGTTTCGTCGCGATCGGCTTCATGATACCTTACACGATAACTTCACACGTCGATCGAGAGTTAAAGCATGGATGAAGGAGAACCAGGCGATGAAGGTTCTTTCATCCATGGTTAAAGTGTGCAATAAGAACTTCTTGGGTGAAGACAAGACCAACACTTTTATCAAGCTCACAGATTTTTAATGATACGGTATTTTCTCTCTACCTACTACGCCCTTCTCACATTCATTTTTCTTAAGTGTTTTTGGGGACAAAAAATATATGTTGTTCCCCTTTCAGGCTTGGGGGCATGACCCCGTGGCCCCCCTGGATCCGCTAGGCCGAAACTAACTAGGTCGTTTTCAAACGGTCTGATATTTCAGGTCATAGTTTGCAAACGGCCGGTGTTTTCAGGTAGTTTCATATGGCCTGACTGGGCCAGGCCGTTTGCAAACGGACCGAATTTTCATACGGCCTGTAACATATATTCAGATTTCGACATCTGTCGTAGCATCAAATGCTGATGTGGCGCACTCAAAAGCCGGAATTGGTCCTTGGATGCCGTAAGGACCCTTTTAAGAAATAAGTGACCCGACTGACCCTTAGAGATTGGCCTGAGCTGTGACCGAAATAAGTCTTTTACCGTTTCGCAGGAAGGGACAAAAAGGTCCCTCATATGCCTCTTGTACAATTACGAAACAAAACAAGTTTTTTTTTCAACGAAAACTCAGTGAGTTTTCCTAAAAAATTTATTGCGCATATTCCGTGAATGAAAAGTTGCCGGGTCATGTCAGGTCAGGCTGCCACAGCAAGTTTTTTAACTTGACAGCTCAATCGATATTTATGCAATAAGACCTTCTCGGGTGACGATAAGACATGACGACACTTTATGAAGGAAGCTAGTAAACCCGGTAGTTTCTCCATAGGCGCGGGAACCGGGGCGAGGGGGGCAGTGGTGGCAGCTTGCCCCCCCCCCCCCAACTCTGGGGCCGTGCGGGCGGTGCCCCCACAACTTTCAGACAGAATACCGCTCCTTTTTGCAAATGTTTTCTTTTTTTGTTGAAAAAGCCAAGGGATGAAAAATAAGTGGCCTAAAACCGGCGAGAAAACTATATTTGGGGGATCCTAGGTTGATCTCTATCATGGTGTGACCTCCCCCCCCCCCCGTCTAAAAGTAGTTCCCGCGCCCCTGGGTTTCTCTACGCTATTGAATCACGCTGCTGATTCTAGTAAGTATCTACTACACAACCTTCTCACATTAATTTTTCTTCGAGCGTTTTGGGGGGCCAAAAGATATGTTGGCCCCCTCTTTCAGGCTTTTTGGGCCCATGGCCCCGGTGGCCCCCTTGAATCCGCCAGTGGGGGCGGTGCCCCCACAACTTTCAAACGGAATAGGGGTACCGTCCTTTTTTGCAACTGTTTCTTTTTTTTTTTGTTGAAAAAGCCAAGGGATGAAAAATAAGTGGCCTAAAACCGGTGAGAAAACTAGATTTGGGGGGACCCTAGGTTGATCTCTATTATGGTGTGCTCCCCCAGTCTGAAAGTAGTTCCCGCGCCCCTGACTTTCTCTACGCTATTGAATCACGCTGCTGATTCTAGTAGGTATCTACTACGCAACCTTCTCACATTAATTTTTCTCCAAGCGTTTTGGGGGGGGGCCAAAAGATATGTTGGCCCCCCCTTTCAGGCTTTTGGGGGGGGCCATGGCCCCGGTGGCCCCCCCCCCCTGGATCCGCCAGTGTTTCCCACACACTTTGCCGAAAAATCGCCATTCTTACGGTATTTTCTTATCTTACGGAGGCAATTTCTTACACAGTTTAAACTGTATGTCAATTTTTAGGGGGTTTTGGGGGGCATTAGGCAATGTAAAAATTTCGCGAAAGACAGGTCAAAAGTTTTTCTATTATAACTTTTGATCTAAGATAGAGCAAAAACAATAGCACCAGTGAACTTAGCACGTCATGAAGGCGCATCGAATGATATACTTTTTTGCTTGCTTAAGTGTACTTAAATAGTTAACGGGGGGGGGGGGGTTAACGGGTGTTTGAACACCCTCTCCCCGCGGTTTTTCGCGGATACCTCAAAAACGGTGGCGCGGACGCCGCCGATTTTGGCACACCTGTTTGTGCATCTTTTCTGCACATGTTGTGAAAACTTCAGACCCAGGTAGCTCAAGGTCAGGTCACCAGGTCACGCCAAGTAACCTCACCTAAAAAAAAATAGAATGCTCGTCATAGCTACACCGACTGAACGATCGCCTTGAAACTTTCACGATTGACAAGAGTAACAATATCTATAAAACTTGCATCTCAGAATTTTGATATCGGTGACCTAAGGTCAGGTCAATTTTGCGGCCTCTCCCCTAAGTCAATGGGAGAAAATTGAAAAGCGTCTCTTTTGCACGAAAGCCATTCTAGACACTCTCAAACATCGGGATGCAGGTAAAATTGACACACTCTGAACCGGAAATGGCATATGTGACCCCTCGTTATGTCCCCGAGGTCATCTCAGGTCACGAATAGATTCTAACAGCTTTTCGATAAT